AAGAATGGAAATTCCAGAACTCTTTATTGTGTTCATGAGGAAACTATTCATAGATCAAGAGCTGTCATTCAAACAGAAGAAGGGAATATAGTGCATGGTTTCCAATCAGGAAGGGTGTACATCAAGGTTGTATCCTTTTGCCATACTTATGCAATCTTTATGCTGAGGAAATAACCCGAGAAGTTGGATTATATGATAAAGAACAGAGCGTCAGGATTGGAGGAAGACTCATTAACAACCTACAATATGCAAGTGAAGATGACTTGAAGCACTTGCTGATGAAAATTAAAAGCTACAGTTTTCAGTGTGGATTACACTTCAACCTTAAGAAAATAAGAATCCTCACAACTGGACCAATAAGCAAAATCATGATAAATGGAGAAAAGATTGAAGTTATCATGGATTTTATTTTACTTGGATCCAGCAAATCAACACCCATAGAAGTAGCAGTCAAGAAATGAGACCTCATATTGTACTGGCAAATCTTCTACAAGAAAGTCACTGTCATTAACTCAATTCTGACTCATAGCGACCCCTATTGGGTTTCCAAGGCTGTAAATCTTGACAGAAGCAAACTGCATCATCTTTCTTCCACGGAGCAGCTGATGGGATCAAACCACTGACCTTCTGTTAGCAACTGCTGCAAGAGACCACTTTAAAGTGTTAAAGAGCAAAAACATCACTTTGAAGACTAAGGTGCACCTAACTCAAGCCACAGTATTTTTAATCACCTCAATATGCACATGAAAGCCTGACAATGAATAAGGAACACAGAAGAAGAGCTAATGCCTTTAAATTGTGGTGTTGGTGAAGAATATTGAAAACACCATGGACTCCAAAAAGAACTAACTATTTTGTCCTGGAAGAAGTGCAGCATGATGCTCCTTGGAAATCAGAACAGCCAAACTGTGTCTCACTTGCTTTGGTTATGTTGTTACAAGGGATTAATCTGCCCTGGAAAATGATACCATACTTGGTAAATTAGAAGGTCAGCAAAAAAGGAAAAGACCCTCAATGAGGTAGAGTGATACAGTGGCTGCTATGATGGACTCAGGTATAAAAAGAATTGTGAGGCTGGCACAGGACTGGGCAGTGTTTTATTCTGTTGTACACAGAGTCACTATGAGTTGGCACAAACTCCATGGCACATAACAACAACCCAAAGGAGGTATAATGTAAATTTAGATGACTTATCCAAGGTTACCTCTAAAAAAAGCTTTGGTATACAGTACACATTTCCTTTACCCTAAAGTCCCAGCAATATGTTCCCTTTAACACCACCCCTTCATCCCTCTATCTTATGCCTCATCCATTTTTACAGGCAAGTCAGCCAATCTCTACTAAGATTTAACTTGAAATTCTTAAAGTGAGGAACATGGTGAAAAGTGTTTACCCTCTTAAAGTTAGTTGTCTTAAAGACAATTACCCCATCCTATCTAGGAACATGACTCTCTAGGTATAGAAGATATCCTAAAGATCTTTAACATTTTAAAAATTCTTCAACTGTATTTGAAAATTTGACTTATTTTACGGAAAATTAATAATTGGTGTGCATACACTGTGGAATTTGGAATTTGAAGCCAAGATCCTTGGAGTCATAGGGGCCCAGACCTCAACTCTTTGCTTATTCACTTAATAACTGAGTGAGCTTTGTCAAGTCATTCAGCTTTATAAGACTTTATTAATGATGTATTATTATAAGGGGAATAATACCTCATAAAACTGGGACAAGGAGAGAAAGGAGAGATCTAGGACTAACAATTAGTTGGCACCAAGCACAGACTACTGCTTTACCTATGTTACATGTTATCTCAGTCAATCCTCACACAATCCCTGAATAAAAAGCAGTTTTTTCGAACTAGGAGATTGAGTTTCTGGAAAGTTAAATACTTGTCTTGAGTAATTCATCTTATAAATGTAAAGATAACACTTCAGCAGAGTTCTTTGTGACTTAAATCTTCCAAGACACCCCACACTTTTCCACTTCATCTGTTGTAATTTATAAAAATAATTTTACAATAGTTTAGATGCTTATTAAATATTAGTTCCCTTCCTTAGTTCTCAATTGCAATTTGAAATTATTTTTGTCTAATATGGTCTGAGGGAGCTCTGGTAGCATAGTGGTTAATGCACTTGACTGCTAACCAGAAGGCCACTTCCTCGGAAGGAAGATGGGGCAATCTACTTCTGTAGTGATACTGCCTCAGAAACCCAAGGAGGGGTCGCTATGAGTCGGGTCTGACTCGACGGCACATAACAACAACAACAATATGGTCTGAAATCCTTCTTTTTAATTAACTCTGAGTAGAAATCTTACCCTAATCGTTATCTTCATAGAATCAATTCCTACGGGGATGAAGTGGAAGCATTCTTTCATATAGGAATAGGCAGACAGTTTCCACCAATAAATGCATTTGGTGCTCTGCCCATAATCTTTAGGGTGCTTTCTATTGACATCTGCCTGAGAGTTTTTCTCCTGCTGGCATTGGGAGCACACAAGGCCTGCATGGAATGCAAATCAGAAGTGCCACTGGGTAAATGCTTCTGAAAGCAGCCCTCAACCAATGACGGATAAAGAGTGGTTGGATAAATATCTTAACTTCCTTTCCTGTTGTTTGGGATAATTCTGAAGCTTATTCTATACTTTCGCAAAAGGAATTGAGCTCCATTTGCCCACAGTGATACCTGGTTTGATAATCCAGTATCAATGGCTCTTTTCCTGCTTTTTCCCTACTGGTATTTTCTGGGATCAATTTCCAGTTAACTTTATGACCCTCCATTCCTAAGCTCATGGTCTGTTTCTGGAAAATCTAAACCAAGATGGATATCTTCAATACCTAGAGAGTAATGTTCCTAGATAGGATGGAGGTAATTGTCTCCCAAATTTAAGAGGGTAAACACTTTTCACCAAGTTCTCACTTTAAGAATTTCAAGTTAAATCTTAGTAGGAATTGGTTGACTAGCTTGTAAAAATGGGTGAGGCATAAGATAGAAGGATGAAGGGGTGGTGTTAAAGGGAACATATTGCTAGGACTTTGTTGTTGTTGTTGTTGTTATGTGCCAAGTCAGATCCAACTCATAGTGACCCCTCCTTGGGTTTCTGAGGCAGTATCACCATGGAAATAGATTGTCCAACCTTCCTTCCAAGGAGTGGCTAGTGGGTTTGAACCACCAGCCTACTGGTTAGCAGTCAAGTGCCTTAGGCACTACGCTACCAGAGCTCCTATGTGCACTCTGTACCACAGCTTTGATATATAATTTGGTCTGATTCTTAAGTTAAAGTTGGATGAGCACAGCTGTCAATATATAAGACATTTTAAAAGATTGTTCAAAACGTTTTGTAAAAAATATATCAGTGCCTCATTTAGATAGTATTCAACTAACCAGAAGTCTTAGTACTGAAATATTTCTGCAGCATCCTTAGAAAAATGTGGCAACCACATGAGCAATTAACATCTTAAATGTTGTTAGGGGAAAAAAAAATAAGTTCCACCAGAGAAAATGTGCCCTCTATGGATTCAGCTCAATCTGATACTTTCTACAATGAGGATTCCCATCCTACAAGACGATCCTAACAAATACAGATTCAATCACTTATGAAACTACATTGCACTTGTGGATAAGCCATTCACTGGCTAATTCAGTTTATGTACATGTCAACCAGCATTGCAAATTTGTTTAAAACATTACTTTCTTTATCCTCAACCAACCAAAACACCTTACTTTTCAAGTATACCGGCTATTGGTAGTTGCTTTATTAATTGTTAACCAACATGTGTTTTTGCCTAAAAAGAAGAAATTGAAGTATTATCCTCTAAGAAACATCCATTTCCTTTAAATTACTAATATGACAACGAAAAAAAGTTCATAATTGATACCCAAGACTAAAGCCCAATGTGTAGGGATAGAAGTTGGTACTGTGTGGTGAAATAATGAAGAAAAGATGAAGGTGAGTTTCCCAGTGGTGAGTGGGCAACAAGATGTGGGACTGGTCCAATAACGGATCTTCTATATAAGTAAATAAAACATTAATACCAAACTGAACATCAAAGAAACATAACAATTCAGTTGAGCATCTAGTTAGTACATGGACATTACTTAAAAAAAAAAAAAAGAAAGAAATGTTGTATGTGACACATGAAGTGACTATTTCAAAAAATACTTTCAATCAAACATAAGATAAGCTTTTTAATCAATGAGACAAACATAGCTGGAGGAATTTCAGAAGTCTAGGCCAAGCAGTTGATGCTGTAAATGAAATATATAAGCAATATATTGTTAATAATAAATAACCTGGATTTTGAAAGTATCTGATTTTGAGATATACATAATGCTAAAAACACACAAATTAAGGAAAGGTTGCATTGTATTATAGAAACTCCATTATTGATAAACTATTATGAGTAATTGTTACAATGAACTGTTCAAAGTGAGTATTTTCTATAGCAAAGGATGTCATTTTCAGAACTACCTGTTACATATGCAAACCAATGATCTACCTGCAACTCCAAATGCTGAAAAAGCAGAAAATTTCCAGTAGACACTCAATCAAGACAACACTGACAAGGAGTAGTACATAGGTGCAGGAGATTTAAGTTTCCAATGCGTTTTTTTAGTCAAGTTAGATACATTTTCAAAATTGATAAGCTACACAGAAGGGGGGGGGTTGGCATTGATACTGCGTGCCATTTGGAAATATTGTACCTCCCATACCAGCCTTATACACACCCTGGAAAAGCACAGATAGACAAAAGAATAAGCACAGAATAAAAGCACTGCAAGGTAAAGAAAGTGAAAAGAGTTCCTTGTCTATAGCAGTTGCTCTACAGAGTCAAAATGGAGAGACAAATCAGAGTGCCTTTCACTCCCTCCCCCAATTTCATAGTCTCCCTTTCTGGCTCCGTTCTTCTCCTCTCCTTCCCTTTTCCCCTTTAGTCAACCCCTTACCCCGTCTCTTTTCCAGTGATATTTACAGAACAACGCGGCACCATGCCACTCACCTGTCGTCATTTTGCCATCCTTGGTCCCCTAGCAGCAAATCCCGAAACCTGTACCTGGGAGGCAGAGGGGGCACTTCGCTCTCCAAATCAACCATCCTTCCTAAAAGAGTGGGAACTATAAAACGACAAATGGAGGGGAGGAGGGGAGGAAAAAAAAAGAAAATACTGCGGAGTAGAGGGAGAGGACTAATAAAATATTGTGGCGGAGAAAGGGACCGGAGGGAAAAGGGGAAGGGGAGTGGAATGTGGGAGGGGGTCTGCTTGGAGCCGGAAGCTGAGGCTGAAAGGGGGCTGGATCCTCTTTCCTGAGGGTGTGATGGGGATGATGCAAACCAAGCCCAGGAGCAAAAGTCTGGCTCTGAAACGAATCAACGCTGCCACGGAACCGCCCCCAGGCTCGGTACCGCCTCTGGCCTCCAGGACTGGGGGGAGGCGGGAGTGCAAAAGTTAGTTCGCCGAAAAAACCGCGCGGTGCCTAGAAAGAGGTGCAGGGGTGGGAGTGCGCGCCGCGTGATGGTGAGCACTTTCCCAACAGGCAGGTAAAAGATCCTCTTCCAAGGGCAGCCACCGGCGGCAGTTCCCAGGGGCGGGCGTGCACCCGGCACAGCCCCTGCAGGCGGGAGCGGGGGAAGGTGGGTTTTGGTCCAAGACGCCACCAACAACGCGCTCCTGGCGAATGCCCTTTGGAGCTGCGGCTAAAAGCCAAGCCAATAAGGCTTCCCCTTATTAGCATAATACTGTGACGGCGCGGGGGTACCTTGGGGACACCCTAGTGGGGAGCTAATTAGCGGTTGCCTGGTCTCCTGACCCTTCCGGAGGAGTGGGCACGGGGTGCTTGGAGCTTTCCTAGGTGCTACAACATACTTCCCTTCGGCCTTCTTCGGCTTGGTTGGGCGGGGTGAAAAATACGCGTAGCAGGAGAGGGAATCCCCCGTTTTCACCCCTAGGAAAGTCTCGTTTTTACTCACACTCTGAAAAAAGGAGGTGTTTTCCAGATCTGGAAATGGATGAAGGGCTACCATAAACCGCTAAAGAGAAACATTTAAATGGTAACTAGGAAAGCGTCTCTGAAACATATTGAGGGTTGTATAGTACTATTTCTACTGTTGCTGCTCTTACCAGTATTGTGGGGTTCCTGCTTTGTGGCCTAATCCTTCTGAATGCTTCTGTTGGTGATTCATACCCCTAAAAGAAAAAGTGAGCCCAGATTTTGTTCTTCAATATCACTGCTGCTTGTAAGAACCCCCCTATACAAGTTCTATGGCTTTTGTTTTTGCACATGCTTTTCTTCCTACCAAGAGCTGATTTCATCAGGGTACATACAGACACTGAAGACTTACCAGGCAACAAGCACCGGACTTAGCCCTGATGGCGTACCATTGCCCATGTCTTTAAGGATCTCACAACATACTCAGGGGAACAAGGTTCATAAATGAAAGAATATGATAGATGTCGTTAAGAATATATAAAGAGATTTGTAAATACCTGTGAGATAACACAATTATTCATGGAGAAGTCAAGGAAGACTTACTGAAAATGAGCTAAACCTTGTAAATTCGTTTGCATCCCGCTTAAGGGAAAGGGACAAGAAGCGCTGGTGGCGCAGTGCGTAGGGCATTTAATTGCTAACCAGAAGGTAGGCAGTTCAACAACTCTGAAGCACGATCTCCTACAACAATCCAGGAATTACACCTGTGCTATTCTTCTACCTTCAAATACATGTATTCTTCGAGGGAGAGGGGAAAACTCCACCAAATTAAGAATACTCAATTTTTATCTTGGACCTTTACATCCTTATGTTAAGTGTGTCCCATGGCCTCCCAAGATCAAAGGAGGCACCCTATTTTTGATAATTCCTTCACCCTGATCTTGGTCACTCTGAACTTGCTAATGCATGGAATGTCTACAGCAACTTTGCCTTTTTTTTTTTTTTTTTTTGCAATACTTGGAAATTAGCGGGTGATCAATAACTGTTTTATGATTGAGTGAAATAATGAATAAGTGAGTGGATTAGCTCGTATCTCAGTCATTATTCAATCATAAGAACCCACCAGCTGCTCTGTGGAAGGAAGATGAGGCAATCTACTTCCGTAAAAATTTACCGACTTGGAAACCCAGTGTGGGCGTCTATGATTGGGAATCACTCCAAGGCAATGCCTAAGGGAAAGGGAGGAAATGTAAAACAGAGGGAAAAACATGAGTATAGGCAAAGAGGGGAAAAAAAGAAAAAATATATATATTTGGCTTGCCAAGCAAATAGTGATTAATTTGGTCTGATTCTCAGTAGAGATGTCTAAAGAAGCCTAGAAGTGCTGGGGTGCTGGGAAAAGTCAGCCAAATTTCTGACTGATAAAACTGATAAAGACAATGAGTACCTCGACCAGAAGAATCAGAGTAGAAAGAGAACAGTCATGGCCTATGACTCTATCATCAAAATCCTACCCATTCCTCTAGTTTAATCCAAAATGAGCATACAGTCCAGGAGATTTCCTGATTCTACCAGCTGGCTGTCATAACCTTCTTCCTTTGAATCCTTAGTACACGTTTGAAGCATTTTGCTTTATTGTGCTGATTATTCAGCCATGCTTTAGGATTATCTGTGCACTTCTCTATGCCTCTGACCCCTACTCTCTGGCTTTTTTTTTTTCTTTTCCTAGCACAGTGCATTGAAAGTAGTAAAATCTGAGTAAATATGTGTTGAGATAGATCAAAAGATTTTTAAACTTCACAATTGATTTTTTTTTCACATTTCTGTTACCCCAGAATTGGTTTTATATTTGTTTGTTTGTTTTGCATGAACTTTTGTAATCCTTTTGCCAAATGAGAAAGTTGTATCACTACATTATTAGTCTGTGCAAAAAAAAAAAGTAAAAGAGAGAATATATGATTTATATTGTGAACCTTATTATGTGCTATTAAGATGGCTCTATGACAATTTACTTTTCCAAGGCCTTGAGTTAATATTTACATTATTATAGTGTCAAACAGCAAACTATGTGTTAAAATTAAAGCAAAGAGTTTTATTGAAGGAATAGAAAAAAGGAAAAAAAAATTGCAAATTGGGAATCACTAGGTCCAGAAGATTCCAAACTAAGTGATTTGAGTAGGAGATAATTTAGGGAGCTTTTGTAAGAAAATACAAGGAACTTCAATAAAAATTCAGTCATTGGCTGACATTTAGGTAATGGTTACAAAATTGGGTAAAGTATATCTGATTGGGAGGAGAATGCAAGGAACTTCAATAACAATTCAATGATTGGCTATCATTTAGGTAATGATTGCAACATTGAGTGCATCTGGCCTCAAAACAATCATAAAACCCTTCTTACATTACTGCAGGGAGGACGTGCATAATTCGAAGTTTCATCTTGGGTAAGCATCCATTCTGAGAATTGTTTTGAACACAGTTTTCTGAATGAAGTGTATTTTAAGCAAGCATAGCTCTTAAGAAAACAAAATCATATTCTTCTCTAAAATTGTTTACCAAGTAATTTTCTCAGGGCATAGTGCAGAGTCACAGAAATGAGATGCTGCATTTCTTGATGTGGGAGTTACTTTTGGTTCAAAATGGATTTTTGCCTCAGAACTTAGCATAGCCCCCATCTCATGTTGAGAGCCTTAAGTTGAGTTTGGTGTGCTCTTACTCAATAGTTTGACTTTATATATTTGGATGACTCAAAAATCTGAAATATTTAAACATCAGTAGAAATTTCAGGAAGCAGTGGAAAAAATTATGAAGTATTAGACACCTAAGATACTAAAGGTTGGAGAATAAAACAATATTTTACTTTTAAAAAGCTTAAAGTTTAGCACTTTTATTTTACACGTTTGTAACAATCTTAGTTATTTGTCTTCCAAGTGCCCAGAAGACTCTAAGTGGGAGCTTAGGAAGGGGCAAGTACATTAAACAGAAAAAAGAAATTAAATAAAAACCTACTCAACTAATAGTGTCATGGCATAGCTGTTAAGGATATAGAGAACTCCAGTATGTCAAACCAAACCATTGGGAACCACTGCAATAAAGTACACATTTGTGTGTGTGTGCCTTACTATTTTCAAATGAAGGATCTTGTTCCACTAAATTTAAGAAAACTGAAAGAATAAACAATATAAGGAATACCATACCTAGAATTTCTTAAAATAAAACATAACACTATTTGGGTATGAAAACTTAATGTAGGTGGAAAATTATTTTGCTCTTCTTTCCATTTCCCTTTCTGTTTTCTGTAAGAAGCTCTGACTTTTATTTTTTGTCATTAATTTTGACTTTTAGTTATCCCACCTGTCTTTCTGTACTTTAATTCTTTTTATTTTTATGTCATGTCATGTCATTCCCTGCTGTTAAAATGTATTTTCCTCTTTCACTCTTTTTCACCTTGGTTTCATTTTTCACTGTGCTCTTTTAATCTTCTATCTTATCTCTGTGTGTGTGTGAAAGCTTTTATTCCACTGTAACATGAGATTTGATTTTTGGAAACAGTTTTAAAACTTGGTTTTGTACATTATAGTTTTGCACCTTCTACACTCATGTTCTTAAGCCCCTTAATGAGCATTTAATATAGAATAGAGCAATAGATGAGTTTGGGTCCCACACTAATAAAATAGAACTCACCACAAGTTTTTCAAATTATTGAGCTGGAGGGATGAGCATACAAAATGAGGACTGGGAGAAAACCTGATTCCCTAGTTTACAATTGTTAAAAATTTTCTAAGAAACACATTTGAGGATATCCTGTTTTCTTCCCCTTCTTTTCTTATAGTGGTGGGGAAAAAATCCTTTTTTAAAAAAATATTCCTAGTTTCCAGTATATTGATTTATTATGTCATTGCTTTAACATAAAAAGAAAGGTTTAGTCCCATGGATGATAAATGAGGACTGGTTTTATTAACAATTGTCAGTATACTGACAATTATCTTCTCAGTAATGAACATAAGTATACTCATAGAATTTTGATGGAGATTTTAACTCAAAACTCAAAACTACATGTATATTCATAAATAATTTTCAAGACAAAATTCTACAAAGTGTCAATGATACTATCTACATAGCTCTATAAGCATTATTGTAAAATGATATTAAAAAAAGGAAAGGAAA